GAGGGACGTGTGGCCTGGAAGGTACGGCCGCTCTTTCGTCCCGTTGGGTCCGCGCCCGTGGCGGAGGCCGGGGTGCCGGAAGCGCCGGGCGCCCCAGGCAGGAGGGAGGCCACGCGAGTTGTGGCCCCACGGAGGCGCAGTGCGGGAGGGCGGTCCCACCCGGACCCACGGCCTCGGCGTCTCCGCCCTCGTGTGCTTACCCCCAAATCTCCGTCGTTTGGGGCTCCCTGTCCTCGAGGTCGGCCCCCTCCAGGATCTGTGAAGGAAGGAACTCGCCGGATCCCTCCTGACAGAAGTTACTTCCTATTAATTCCCTTAGTGAGCGCCTGAGCGGATGTGTACGGACCCATCTTACGGATATGGAAGCTGAGGCCTGGAGAAGTGCACGGTCCCGCCTGGAGGACGGGGGGTTCCACCGCGTAAAACAGTGGCGGAACCCGTGTGTCTGGCTCCAGTCAGAGCTGGTGAGGGCTGAGTGACGCTCCCTTCCCCGCACACTGGTGTTCAAGTTGGGATGCGCTCCCTTCCGGTCTGCCTGGGTTCCAGAGCTTAGCCCGAGGGTCGCTCTGTTCAGTGTTAACTTCTTTCTTAAAATGGATGAAATAAAAATCCTCTAGTTTTATTCCATTTTTGTGGCAGGAATTTGCTAGTGGAATTTGAGTAAAGCTGAAAGACTATGAATGAGAATACCATGGAAATGGACATTTTTATGAGCAAAATTCTGTGACAACTAAATATTGTCACTGTTCAAGGACCCAGCTCTCCCTGATCTCGAAGTGGTCAGGAATTCTGATTAAATAGTGTCTGCTTAATGGCATATGGGAAACGGATTTGGTGTGGGTTGGTTTGGGGAGGGAGACATTGGGAGCTGGAGGGGATGATCGTCTACAAATAAAATGTGTCTGCCACAAACCAGACTCTCTTAAAAGGTGAAGGCTGCTGTGGCCTGTGCATTCTCCATCCTTCAGGTCCCTGCTTAGGATTGTCACATTTTCAGAGGCTTTCCCTGACCACCCTGTTGAAAGTATTCTGTGCATCTTTCTTTCGGTGTATCTCAGCAAGATTGTGACACAGGTGAGGCTGGAGCTTGGTTATCCCAGTGCCCTTTCCAAAGTATCCTTTGATTGCATATTCCAAACCTTGGCCTGAGCTTTGATAGCAGTGTTCCTGCCAGACCATGCAAATCGGTGCTTGGGTAGCTGGGTCAGAACATTTGATCCTGGTAAATTTGGCTCACTGTTTTTCAGCATCGCAATGTCTTTATAAACTCCATGCCTTTCCTAGGCTTGTGAGGATTGAGTGAGTACATACCCCTAAAGGGCTGAGCAGAGTGCTTAGCACTTAGTGTTTAATAAATGTTAACTGTTATGAGCTGCTCAAAGGGGTCTCAGCTTTTCCTCTCAGGTTTGGCCATTAGACAACTCTGTCAACATAGCCTCAGGCTCTTCCCTCACTGTGATTCTACTGCAGCTGCTCAAGGCTTTGAGATGCTCAGAATGTCACAATCTCTTTGCTCTTGGGCTCTTTGCAAATGCTGGTTCCTCTGCCCATTTCCTAAGCCTTCACCCTTCCGTGGCTGATTCCTTCCCACCCTTAGGTGATGGTTAAATGTAACCTCTAGAGAATATCCCTGTGCACCCTTTGAACTATGAGTCCCCTGAAACTCTTTAGATGAGCAGCGTGTTTCTTGTTACACTTGCCACAATTTGTTGATAGAGAGGTGTGTATGTGTGTGTGTGTGTCCATATATATATAGTTTGTATATGTACTTGTTCATTGTCTGTCTCTTCCGATTTGCTGATAGAGAGGTGTGTATGTGTGTGTGTGTCCATATATATATAGTTTGTATATGTACTTGTTCATTGTCTGTCTCTTCCTTTTGACTAATGTAGGTGACTTTTGCATTCACCAGGCTTCCCTATTGCCTAATAACAGTAATTTACATATAGTAGGTACTTATTATCTGTTTAATGAATCACTCCGGGTCATTGATAAGAATATGAAACAGAAGCCTGGTATCAGCACTGATGCTGATTTGCACATCAAATCCTGAGTTTCACCCCAAGACTCTGTGGAGGGAGGGAGGAAGAAAAGGCAGAATAGAACAGGGGCTATGGGTCTTTTGACACTTTCTCAGAAATAGGCCACAGGGTAATTTGGTTTGAATTTTTCCCTTCCCACCACCTTTCCCATTTGGCTCCTTACCCTACACATGGCACTGTGCATACTGGCCTTTGCACTCATGATAGTATTGGTCTTGCTGTTCCAGGACCCCAATGCAGACACCGAGTGGAATGACATCTTACGCAAAAAGGGCATCTTGCCCGCGAAAGAAAGTCTGAAAGAATTGGAAAAAGAGGCGGAAGAGGAGGAGCAGCGAATCCTTCAGCAGTCAGTGGGTGAGCTTGCTCATTTTCTTTATTTGTTCGCTGTCTATCTGGGTTAGGAAACAACTTTCTAAGCCTCTGACTGCTATGGTAGAAGGATCTGTGCAAGAGCCAAGAGACAGAGGCTGGTGTGCTGGCATGGACAGTTTCTATGGGACCTCAGATGAGTCACAGGGTGTCTCCAGCCTTCACCATCCTGGGCCATAGAATTAGGGGGACTTCAGAGGTGTCCTTCAGTCCCACAGATACTGGTCTGTGTCAGATGAGCATGTGATAATCCTGAAGAAGATATTTCTAAATCCTTTCTTGTCTGTGATTCACTTTGGATATTATAGAAATTTGTTCAAAGTTTTTAGTATGAAGTTATACTTTATCTTAGTGGTTTGATTGAGAATATTAAGTTAAAGTAGCTTACTTTGGGGAGGCATAAGGTGTTTGCAATATATGGGGTCTGAGAGAGGGGTTTTCTCAAAGGTGGCCTTACCACTGAATTAGAATCCCTTGGAGAGCTTGTAAAACATCCTCAATCCTTACTGAATCAGGATCTCTGGATTGAGGCCGAGGAATCTGCATTTTGAACAAGTGCCTTAAAGAATTTCTGATGCATACCAAAGTTTGAGAACCACTGATCACAGGGACTAGTACTTTTGTCTCCTGTTTCCATGTTAGAGCTAATTTAGAGAAGGATTTATTAGAAAGTATTTTATCCAGTGAATGTTTGTTGAATGATTACTATATGTCACGTGCTGTTCTAGGCAATGGGGATTTACTTGTGCTCAAGCCAGACAAAATTCTCTGCTCTCACGGAACTTACATTCTAGCAGGGGATTCAAACAATAAACAATTTATAAGTGAGATACAGGGAAATACGTCTGGGAAAGGGGCTAGAAAGGGTTAGAGGAGAGGTAGGTACAATTCTAGATTGGGTCAGAGAAGATGACATTTGCATAGATCTTAAGGAGGTGAAGATGACATTTGAGTAAAGACCTGAAGAAGCCGAAGATGACATCAGAGTACAACTGAAGGGGGTGAGGTGAGCAGGTGACATGCGGGCTTGGCATGTTGGAGAATTTGAGGAGGCCAGTAGGACTGGGGAGGGTGGTAGAAGTAAGTTCAGAGAGGCCATAGGGGTGAAACCACTTGGGACCTTGTAGCTTCTAGTAAGGACCTTGGCTTTTATGTCTAATGAGGTGAGAAGCTTTTGGAGGTTTAACCAGAAGAGTGGCATGTTCTCCATTTTGACAGCACTGTTCTTTGGCTGCCTTACTGAGCATGGACTGTGCAGGGGGTGGGGGTAAGGTAGGAAGCAGGGAGACCAGTTTGGAAACTACTGTAATAATTTAGGCGAGAGATACCATTGGCTTGGACTGGCATAGTGGTGAAAGTGGTGAGAAATTGTTAGATCTGGAAATTTTTAAAGGTAGGGTCAGTGGGATTTGCTGATGGATCCTATGAGTGGCATGAGAAAGATGAGACAAGGATACTACAAGGCTTTTGGCTTGAGCAACCCGAAGGATGGAATTGCCACCAACTGAAATGAGCACGAGCACATTGGCGAGGAGCAGGTTTGGAGGAAGATGGGGAACTCTGCTTGGGACATATTAACTTTGAGATTTTTATTAGACAAATAGAGATGTCCAGTGGGCAGTTGGGTGTGTTTTTCTCCAAATCAGGGCTAAGTCTGGGCTAGAGGCATAACTTAGGGAGTTATTAGCATATTGATAGTATTTAAAGTGATGAGATTAGGTTCTTCACCAAGGCAGTGGGTATAGGTAAAGAAGAAAAGGAGTCAAAGAACTGAGCTCTGGGGAATTTTAATTGGCAAAAGTTTAAGGGTGGGAGCATAGGGGTAAGAGGAGAGGGGGCATCTAGAAGCCAGAGCAGGACGGCCTTTCAGAGAGGAGGCAGTGATGGCTTGGGTCAAGTGCTGCCTATCATCAAGAAATGGAGGTCATTATTGTCCTTGATAAGAGTTTTTTGGAGTGAAGGGGGGTTGCAAAAGCCCAACTGGATATCAAGAAGCAAGAGTATTTAAGGCAATAAAAATAAGATACTGATTTTATCTGTAACCCTACTGCTGGAGGTTGCAAGAAAAGATAGAGCTGCCTACTACTCATATGAAAAGACCAAGAAGTACGGGATAATCACCCTTAACTCTAGGAGGTGTGTCCTTGTATCCTGCTGTCTCCTTGGATGATATGAGAACTGCTGATACACCCAGACGATGCGAGCATGGGAGCTGATGTCAAGTTTATCAAAGCCATTTCAACAATCTGCATACTCAATTATCTAGATAAGAATCTGCCCACAATATTTGTTTACCTTGAAGGTGATATCAAGGCTTTGATGCGAGCATGGGAGCTGATGTCAAGTTTATCAAAGCCATTTCAACAATCTGCATACCCAATTATCTAGATAAGAATCTGCCCACAATATTTGTTTACCTTGAAGGTGATATCAAGGCTTAGTTCATTGGTCCTCTGGTGTTTGGAGGCATGAACCTGAAAAGGAGTGGTTAAGGGGCTTTTGAAGTCATGCGAGAGCACTTGAGAGGTGGGGAGGGATATTTCTGTTGAAGAGAGTACTTGAAGATCAGACCAGGTGCCTTCAGGCAAATACAACTCTCTTGTTATATGAAATTGAGAAACTTCTCATTCATACCGCTATTGTGTGAAGGTAAGACAGTCAGGTTGGCAGACATCAACACAGATCTGTCTTTTTAAAACACCCTCCACCACTTATTTACTAGCGTAATACCGTAAGGCATCTTTGTTTAGGTGGGCTGGGAGTCTTCTGGTTTTTCTCTTTAGGAGAAAAATGAAGGGGAAAACCCAAAATGCATGTCTGCTCATCTTTTAAATTTTTTGTTTTTTACCAATGTAACTAAATTCAGTGAAAACCTATGAAGATATGACTTTGGAAGAGCTGGAGGAGAATGAAGATGAGTTTAATGAGGAGGATGAACGTGCTATTGAAATGTACAGGTTAGTGCTGCCCAGAGGGACTGTTTGGTTTTTTGTGTGGTAATAAAATGTGTGTCCTTTGAAAAATCAATTTTCCAGCCAAGATAACATTTGGAAAGGACTATACCGTAATTAAATAATAATATTGCAAATTTCAACAAACTGGTGTTAAACTTTTGCCCCAAGGTAAATAAACCTGGACCTTTACAAGCATTGCCTTCTGAAAGATGTACACGTGTGTGCACATGAGTTTGTGTGTATGTATGTATGTAAGGTGTTTCTTTCCTGTTGTGCAGGCAACAAAGACTGGCTATGACTTTGGAAGAGCTGGAGGAGAATGAAGATGAGTTTAATGAGGAGGATGAACGTGCTATTGAAATGTACAGGTTAGTGCTGCACAGAGGGACTGTTTGGTTTTTTGTGTGGTAATAAAATGTGTGTCCTTTGAAAAATCAATTTTCCAGCCAAGATAACATTTGGAAAGGACTATACCGTAATTANAATTTGTTGATAGAGAGGTGTGTATGTGTGTGTGTGTGTCCATATATATATAGTTTGTATATGTACTTGTTCATTGTCTGTCTCTTCCTTTTGACTAATGTAGGTGACTTTTGCATTCACCAGGCTTCCCTATTGCCTAATAACAGTAATTTACATATAGTAGGTACTTATTATCTGTTTAATGAATCACTCCGGGTCATTGATAAGAATATGAAACAGAAGCCTGGTATCAGCACTGATGCTGATTTGCACATCAAATCCTGAGTTTCACCCCAAGACTCTGTGGAGGGAGGGAGGAAGAAAAGGCAGAATAGAACAGGGGCTATGGGTCTTTTGACACTTTCTCAGAAATAGGCCACAGGGTAATTTGGTTTGAATTTTTCCCTTCCCACCACCTTTCCCATTTGGCTCCTTACCCTACACATGGCACTGTGCATACTGGCCTTTGCACTCATGATAGTATTGGTCTTGCTGTTCCAGGACCCCAATGCAGACACCGAGTGGAATGACATCTTACGCAAAAAGGGCATCTTGCCCGCGAAAGAAAGTCTGAAAGAATTGGAAAAAGAGGCGGAAGAGGAGGAGCAGCGAATCCTTCAGCAGTCAGTGGGTGAGCTTGCTCATTTTCTTTATTTGTTCGCTGTCTATCTGGGTTAGGAAACAACTTTCTAAGCCTCTGACTGCTATGGTAGAAGGATCTGTGCAAGAGCCAAGAGACAGAGGCTGGTGTGCTGGCATGGACAGTTTCTATGGGACCTCAGATGAGTCACAGGGTGTCTCCAGCCTTCACCATCCTGGGCCATAGAATTAGGGGGACTTCAGAGGTGTCCTTCAGTCCCACAGATACTGGTCTGTGTCAGATGAGCATGTGATAATCCTGAAGAAGATATTTCTAAATCCTTTCTTGTCTGTGATTCACTTTGGATATTATAGAAATTTGTTCAAAGTTTTTAGTATGAAGTTATACTTTATCTTAGTGGTTTGATTGAGAATATTAAGTTAAAGTAGCTTACTTTGGGGAGGCATAAGGTGTTTGCAATATATGGGGTCTGAGAGAGGGGTTTTCTCAAAGGTGGCCTTACCACTGAATTAGAATCCCTTGGAGAGCTTGTAAAACATCCTCAATCCTTACTGAATCAGGATCTCTGGATTGAGGCCGAGGAATCTGCATTTTGAACAAGTGCCTTAAAGAATTTCTGATGCATACCAAAGTTTGAGAACCACTGATCACAGGGACTAGTACTTTTGTCTCCTGTTTCCATGTTAGAGCTAATTTAGAGAAGGATTTATTAGAAAGTATTTTATCCAGTGAATGTTTGTTGAATGATTACTATATGTCACGTGCTGTTCTAGGCAATGGGGATTTACTTGTGCTCAAGCCAGACAAAATTCTCTGCTCTCACGGAACTTACATTCTAGCAGGGGATTCAAACAATAAACAATTTATAAGTGAGATACAGGGAAATACGTCTGGGAAAGGGGCTAGAAAGGGTTAGAGGAGAGGTAGGTACAATTCTAGATTGGGTCAGAGAAGATGACATTTGCATAGATCTTAAGGAGGTGAAGATGACATTTGAGTAAAGACCTGAAGAAGCCGAAGATGACATCAGAGTACAACTGAAGGGAATGAGGTGAGCAGGTGACATGCAGGCTTGGCATGTTGGAGAATTTGAGGAGGCCAGTAGGACTGGGGAGGGTGGTAGAAGTAAGTTCAGAGAGGCCATAGGGGTGAAACCACTTGGGACCTTGTAGCTTCTAGTAAGGACCTTGGCTTTTATGTCTAATGAGGTGAGAAGCTTTTGGAGGTTTAACCAGAAGAGTGGCATGTTCTCCATTTTGACAGCACTGTTCTTTGGCTGCCTTACTGAGCATGGACTGTGCAGGGGGTGGGGGTAAGGTAGGAAGCAGGGAGACCAGTTTGGAAACTACTGTAATAATTTAGGCGAGAGATACCATTGGCTTGGACTGGCATAGTGGTGAAAGTGGTGAGAAATTGTTAGATCTGGAAATTTTTAAAGGTAGGGTCAGTGGGATTTGCTGATGGATCCTATGAGTGGCATGAGAAAGATGAGACAAGGATACTACAAGGCTTTTGGCTTGAGCAACCCGAAGGATGGAATTGCCACCAACTGAAATGAGCACGAGCACATTGGCGAGGAGCAGGTTTGGAGGAAGATGGGGAACTCTGCTTGGGACATATTAACTTTGAGATTTTTATTAGACAAATAGAGATGTCCAGTGGGCAGTTGGGTGTGTTTTTCTCCAAATCAGGGCTAAGTCTGGGCTAGAGGCATAACTTAGGGAGTTATTAGCATATTGATAGTATTTAAAGTGATGAGATTAGGTTCTTCACCAAGGCAGTGGGTATAGGTAAAGAAGAAAAGGAGTCAAAGAACTGAGCTCTGGGGAATTTTAATTGGCAAAAGTTTAAGGGTGGGAGCATAGGGGTAAGAGGAGAGGGGGCATCTAGAAGCCAGAGCAGGACGGCCTTTCAGAGAGGAGGCAGTGATGGCTTGGGTCAAGTGCTGCCTATCATCAAGAAATGGAGGTCATTATTGTCCTTGATAAGAGTTTTTTGGAGTGAAGGGGGGTTGCAAAAGCCCAACTGGATATCAAGAAGCAAGAGTATTTAAGGCAATAAAAATAAGATACTGATTTTATCTGTAACCCTACTGCTGGAGGTTGCAAGAAAAGATAGAGCTGCCTACTACTCATATGAAAAGACCAAGAAGTACGGGATAATCACCCTTAACTCTAGGAGGTGTGTCCTTGTATCCTGCTGTCTCCTTGGATGATATGAGAACTGCTGATACACCCAGATGATGCGAGCATGGGAGCTGATGTCAAGTTTATCAAAGCCATTTCAACAATCTGCATACCCAATTATCTAGATAAGAATCTGCCCACAATATTTGTTTACCTTGAAGGTGATATCAAGGCTTAGTTCATTGGTCCTCTGGTGTTTGGAGGCATGAACCTGAAAAGGAGTGGTTAAGGGGCTTTTGAAGTCATGCGAGAGCACTTGAGAGGTGGGGAGGGATATTTCTGTTGAAGAGAGTACTTGAAGATCAGACCAGGTGCCTTCAGGCAAATACAACTCTCTTGTTATATGAAATTGAGAAACTTCTCATTCATACCGCTATTGTGTGAAGGTAAGACAGTCAGGTTGGCAGACATCAACACAGATCTGTCTTTTTAAAACACCCTCCACCACTTATTTACTAGCGTAATACCGTAAGGCATCTTTGTTTAGGTGGGCTGGGAGTCTTCTGGTTTTTCTCTTTAGGAGAAAAATGAAGGGGAAAACCCAAAATGCATGTCTGCTCATCTTTTAAATTTTTTGTTTTTTACCAATGTAACTAAATTCAGTGAAAACCTATGAAGACATGACTTTGGAAGAGCTGGAGGAGAATGAAGATGAGTTTAATGAGGAGGATGAACGTGCTATTGAAATGTACAGGTTAGTGCTGCCCAGAGGGACTGTTTGGTTTTTTGTGTGGTAATAAAATGTGTGTCCTTTGAAAAATCAATTTTCCAGCCAAGATAACATTTGGAAAGGACTATACCGTAATTAAATAATAATATTGCAAATTTCAACAAACTGGTGTTAAACTTTTGCCCCAAGGTAAATAAACCTGGACCTTTACAAGCATTGCCTTCTGAAAGATGTACACGTGTGTGCACATGAGTTTGTGTGTATGTATGTATGTAAGGTGTTTCTTTCCTGTTGTGCAGGCAACAAAGACTGGCTGAATGGAAAGCAACTAAACTGAAGAATAAGTTTGGGGAAGTTTTGGAGATCTCAGGAAAGGATTATGTTCAAGAAGTCACCCAAGCCGGTGAGGGCTTGTGGGTAATCTTGCACCTTTACAAACAAGGGTGAGCCGATCGTCCATGCTGCCTATAAAATGTTAATTTGAAGTTATGTGTTGAACATGTCAGACTTACCCCATATTTTTTTCCTTTTTTTTTTCCCCAGGGTTTTTCTTTTTATTCCCCAGTACTGAATTTTAGGTGTTTTTGTTGCTGGTTTGCCCAAACCTTAATGCCTAATTTTTGTCTTAAGACTTTTTTTTTCCTGACTTTCCAGTTAATATTTGTGACTAACACAAACACCTTTGTTAAAGTGTAGCAGTGAAGACTTTGCTTTCCTTTTATTGCAATGGAATTTCTAAGTTGTTTGTCTGGAGGGCATTTCAATATTCCATGTAATTAATCACTCCTGTAGGTGGCTAGGGTGTGTGCTCAGTGATGTCATGGTCCTCCAGTGCTCCTCGCCTGTATGAGACTTGTTCTTAAACTATAGAGTTCAGTCCCTGTTTAGGAATTCCTTTAAAGCAGGAAATGCTTTCTGACTTATTTCATACATTCTAAATATTCAGAGTTCTCTAATTCAACCCCATAAAAAGGCATAGAAATTATCTTTTACATTGAAGCTGTTTTTCTGAATTATTGCTGTGTCAAATTAAATTGGACTTTGGATTTTGAGTTCTTCACTTTCCCTGAACATATTAGAAAGTTTTTTTTTTTAATGTTAATTCATCTTAGCTAGTAGCAGAACACCTGTGAAATTATAATGAGGTTTTACTTAGGGTAGAAGGGTAAAGCTTTGTTTTATATAAATACAGAATTACAGTTGTTTGTTTTCTGTTTCTATTCTATAGGATTCCTCTCTGTGCCCTGATAAATCAACACTTAAGTGAACTTGCCAGGAAGTTTCCTGATGTCAAATTTATGAAAGCCATTTCAACAACCTGCATACCCAATTATCCAGATAGGAATCTGCCCACAATATTTGTTTACCTTGAAGGTGATATCAAGGCTCAGTTTATTGGTCCTCTAGTGTTTGGTGGCATGAACCTGACAAGAGATGGTAAGGGGCTCTTGGAGTCAGGCAAGAGCACATGAGAGGTGGGGTGGGGATATTTCTGTTGAGAAGAGAGTGCCTATTTCCCAGACATGTGTTACTGTGATTTGTGGAGTCCACCTTTGCCTCTGTGTGAGTGATTGTTAAAAGATAAGCACATTCAGTCTCTCAGATGAGTAACCAGGAGCACTTACAACTGGACTCTAATAATTCTCAGTCAAAGGAGGGCAGAGTAGACTTAAATATACAGTTGTCCCTCAGTATCTACGGGGGATTGGTTCCAGGACCCCCTGTGGATACCAGAATCTGCAGATACGTCCCTTATATAAAATGGTGTTGTATTTGCATATAACCTACACACATCCTCCTGTATACTTTAAATCATTTCTGTATTACTTATAATACCTAATACAATGTAAATGCTGTGTAAATAGCTGTTATACTGTATTGTCTTTATATTTTTATTTTTATTATTTTTTTTTTTGGCGGCTGGTCAGTAAGGGGAATCCGAACCCTTGACTTTGGCATTAATTAACACTACACTGTAACCAAGTGGGCTAACTGGCCAGCCCTTGTTATTTCTTATTGTTCCCCCCACCGCCCCTGAATATTTTCATTCCAAGATTGGTTGAATCCACAGATGCCAAACCTGTAGATATGGAGGGTGACTGTATATATATTTAATATTAACATCAAATATATTTTGTCTCTACAGTTGAATGTTTTGTTTTAAGTTGTAGCTCAAGATCACAGTATTTATTTTCGATTTAATTTACGTGAACATATTAGTGACAAATGTTGATATATATATGTGTTTCTCTACAGAAATATTTTCTCAATACCTTTGTAGCTTTTAAATTTAAATTAAACTTTTATTTAATACTACCCCTTAACTCTGGAAGGATGTGTTATTATTCCTTTCTATTTTTTGCACATGGAAGTGTCAAAATAGCCACACGGAAGATGAAAGAGAACCTGTGGCCAGAGACATTCCTGCCAAGTAAAATTCTTTATCTTTTCCAAGATAATATATCCATATATCCAACTTTTTTTTTTTTCTTCTCTTTGGCAGCTGGCCAGTACAGGGATCAAACCCTGGACCTTGGTGTTATCAGCACCACGCTCTAACCAGCCAGCCCCCAAGGATGCTTTACTGGTCTCAAAAACATATTTTTGAATATGACTATATACTACACCATTAAGATATTCAACTGGGAAAAGTATAAACACACCCATACACATATATACTCACACACAAGATACATCAGTTACATTATTCCAGTGTTCAAAGACGTATAGCATTTCAAACTAGATACATATTTGCATCTAGTTTTGACCTTTTAGGAACGTTCCATGAGAAGAGAGAGAGATATATACAATCGTAGTTATAGTGTTTATTTCTAGAAAAAGTCTTATTTGAGGATCTGTGAACTTATATTTTATGATGATTGCTGTGTATAAGTGAACAATAACTTAAATTCATACACTTATACATACATTTATATATGTACATATAGATACGTAAATGTAGATATATACTCAAGTCAAGAATCAGAAATCATGATTTTTTAAAAAAAATTTGTTGAATTCACAAATAAAGTGAAAAAGAAATTTGTTGAATTTTCATAATGTTCAACTAAGGTACCTAAAATGTTATTCATCTCCACGGAGAACATTTTTCCCCCAGCATTATTGAGGTATGATTGGCAAAAAAAAAAAAAAAAAAGTATATATTTAGGGTGTACAACATGATTTTATTTATGTGTACAATGTGAAATGATTACCATAGTCAAGCTAATTAACATATTCATTACCTCACATAGTTACCCTTTTGCTTTTCGTGGTGAGAATACTTAAGATCTTATTCTCTTAGAATATTACAAATATATAGTACATTGTTATTAACTATAGTCACCGTGCTGTATATTAGGTCTCTAGAATTTACTCATCACATAACTGAACGTTTGTAGCCTTTGACTACCATCTTCCTGTTTATTCCCCAACCCCCAGCCCTTGGTAACCACCATTCAACTCTATTTCATGGAACACTTTAAATTAACATGACTTCATTAAAAATGCTTGCCAGATTTTAATGGAAGAACCCAATTAGCAGAATGTTTCTTCATTGATCTGACTTTGGCTGAGCTATTTGTTTTAGAATCTCTTGGGTAGTCTTAGTTCTGCCTGGGTTCTCCTCTGCAGTGGAAAAATACATCACTTGATTTTGCTTTACAGGGTCCCACAGTTGCAGAGTTTCATTAATTACAAGAGATCGAAATATAGGAACTGAGCCTTTAGTCACTGATTCTTTAGTTTCTGGTACTTCGTTTTTTTTAATTACTCAGAACAAATGTATCAGATCTAGGGTGTTTATCCTCTGACCCTAGTAGATTGAGATATTGGGTGTGGGGTTGAGGAATTTCCTTTTGTTAACTAAAATTAGATTTAATGGTTAGATTTCCAGCAGGCCTGTGGGAATTATTTTCTTTCAATGTTTCATGCTGATTTCTTCCCTGGGAAATTGTCCAAATTGGAAAACTGTAGTCATGAGAGGACAGGTTTATTCTTTGTATTTTATTTGAATTTCTATATAGGTTCAAGTTTATGTAATATCTCACTTGATCTCATCTTCTAAAAATGGGTTTGAAAGTATTTTGTGTTTTTCTTTTTAAAGGTTTGAGTTTTTTTCCCTTTTTAGGCACCTTAAAATATGGCACTAGAATTAAATTGTCATCAAATTTTGATGATGTATTTTCTGCTTAGAAAAAACTAGCTTGATGGGCCTAGGGTGAGGGGAGCCAGCCATGCAGTACAATGCCTTAAAGGATTTGCTTTTTATTTATCATGTAGAGTTGGAGTGGAAATTGTCTGAGTTTGGAGCAATTAAGACGGACCTGGAGGAAAACCCTAAGAAACCAATTGAAGACGTATTGCTGACCTCTGTTCGGTGTTCTGTCCCCACGAGGAGAGACAGTGATTCTGAAGGTGACTGAGGCTACAGCCACTGTAACTTGCTGAACTTTCTTTGGTATGACAAATCATCTGGATTTTTTTTAAAAAGGAAAAAGCACTAATGAATCCTTTTGTTTTTTAGTCTTTTATAATTGTTTCATATCTCATACATTTCAGAAATAATCATTGCTGGTAATTCTATTAAATTTCTTGGAACTCTTTTTAAATTAGTAATATTTCCTTTAAAATAAACAACCAAACCGACTACTGGTACAGCAAGTGTCTGTTTTCCTCACTTGTGTTTTAAGTAAGCCGTAAAACTGTTTACTATTTTTTGACATATAACTATATAAAAAGAAATATGGAGTTTTAAAAAAATAATGTGAATAAATTTATACAATGGAAAAATTGCAAACTAAGCTTTAC